TTAAGGCCACAAGTAGGTGAACAATAGAATATTTTGTTAAATAGTGTTAGTCAAGGTGAGTCACGGATTCTGAGAAAGGTGCCTTTCCCAGAGTTTATAGCAATTCAACTGTCAAAAGAAGATCAAACTATCCAACAGGTAAGAACAGGTAACCCCAGAGCACTTGGCTCCTCCAGAGGTCTGGTGTCCATTAAGACCCAGTGTCGCCCAGCTGGCATGACTCAGTGATTGAGCTTTGACCTATAAACCAACAGGTCATAGTTCAATTCCTGGTCAGGGTACATGCTGGGGTTGTGGGCTCAATGCTTGGTGGAGGAGGGGGGGGCATGCAGGAAACAGCCAATCACTGATGTTTCTCTATCTCTCTCCCCCTCTCCCTTCCTAAAAAAAAAAGAAAAAGAAGAAAAAAGAAGACTGGGTCTCATGATGCCTTTAATCAGAAGACCACACAGGTTGGAGCCTGGAGAGGAACCTGTTGGGTTTAGATTTTGCCTCTACCTGGCCAACTGAATGTCCTTCAGCAAGACACTTAAATTCTGGGTCTCAGTCTCCTCACTTGAAAGGATGAGTATTTTATGGATGGTAGGCAAAAGTCACAGGAAATCGTCTCGGCAGCATGAAATATCTTCTATGTCCCTTTCAGGCCTTAAAGAATTGCTAACTTTCATTGATGACTGAGAACGAACAGGATAGGTGCTCTAGATGTCCATTTGGGGATTTCTCATCCACGCTCTCTAGTTCTGGGTGGTGCAGCACCAGCCTGGCTCCAGGTTCCCAGGGACTGTGGGGAGGGAGTTGGGGTCACCCGGGACAGGATCTGGGCTGCCTGTACTTCTGGAGGGCCAAGCACAGGCCCTGGGGTGGCAGGGGCCATCAAGTCCTCAGTCGCCTCCATGTGGTCACAAGAAGAGAGTAGACTGGGCCTGCTGAGCAGGCCCAGGATGTGCGGGCATGGAGGGCCCAGGCTAGTGCCAGTCACGATGGTTTGATCTTCACCGAGTAGGAGGACTCAGCTAGGCTTTGCTGGAGAGCAAGGGAGGTCTATTTGTATTTTTTAAATATTGAATTTACTAAACACATATCTATGAATAGAACTTAAATAAATATTAATATTTAAACAGTGATTGCAAACGTTATCAATTTCCTTAAACAATATCAAGTGCAATTATAAATTTAATATGATAATTATTTGAATACACTTTAAACACTACACAAAACGAAACCAAATACATTATATAAACATATATAAACATTATAAACATATATGTACTGTCATTACACTTAAATTTATTGTAAGACACCAACACTGTAGACTTAATTCATTCCTTCGTTGGTTTCTACTTGCTATTGTTTTTCTCTGGGCAGGAGATACTTTCTTAAGGTTGCTCAAATATGTCTTTTGATGTTTTCTTGGTGTTACTGAAAATTTGTTGGACTCCCTGCATCTCCAAAGAATATTGCCTCAGAACCTCATGTACACCTGGCTACAGAATTCTTCTCAGCAGGTTGATCCATGCTTCGGGCTCTCAAGCTTGTTGTATCTCCCAAAGAGTTATCTTTGTTCCAGTAAAACTTATCCTGTTACCCTAATAAGTCTTTTGATGTTTGTATCTTCTACTAAATTTGTAGTTTCTGCATCTATAATGATGTATGCCTTCGGTTTCACTTGAGCAGAGTTATGGAACCCCTTGTTCTGTCATTATGATATAGTGACTTTCCTTGTTAGCATTACTTTAAAATTATGCATGTGCTAGTAATGTCATATGGTTAAGGGGCCATCTAGTAGATTCGTCTCCTGGAAGAGAGGATTGTGTTTGCACATTTCTGCCCATCTTTGGACATTTGACTCACCCAGCATCCCAAGACCCTCTTTCTCCTTGATCAAGGAGTATGAGCAATGGTGGTTAACTAGTTGAACTTCTTTTTACCTGGTTATCATGTGTATGTAGCCACATGTACTGATCTTGGGACACTTCCTATTTTTTGGGGGACTATTTAGCTCACACACAATTTTATGCTTTCATTCTTTTCCATTGACAGTAAAAATGAGCACATATCTGTTCATTATAAACATACGAGAGGCTCAGTGCATGAAAATTCATGCACTGGAGAGGGTGTCCCTCAGCCTGGCCTGCCCCCTCTCCCCACAGTTTGGGAGCCCTCAGGGGCAGGAGGCGACACAGTGATCAGAGGAAGGTGAAGCCCCCATCACACCTCTGCTGCTGCTACTGCTGGCAGCATAAGCCTCAGTTGGCCCTGATTACCTCAGCCTCGGGCGGCCCTGGATGGCTGGGCAGCCACCATCTGAGGCTTGCCTGCTCCTAGGGCCTGGCCTGGGTGGCTGGACAACCAACATCTGAGGCTTACCTGTGCCTTGGGCTGGCCCTAAGTGGCTGGGCAGCTGACATCCGAGGCTTGCCTGTGCCTCAGGCCAGCCCTGGGCGCCTGTGGGCTGAGGGCAGGTCCAGCTGGACCGTGCACCTGCCACCCCCCTGGCTGAGCTGAAAGGATTGGGGGACTCCGGCAGGGCTGAAGGGACTGGGTGCCGCCATCTTGTGGCTATGGGCGCCACCATCTTTGTGATGGCATGATGGCCAATTTGCATATTCCTTCTTTATAAGATAGGATATGCACTTAGAAGAAACACACATACTCATAATTAGTAATATTCACTTTTCTATAAAATTTTAAAAACTTAAAAAAATCCTCTCTTTGCCATATCTACTGTGAGGATGAAGACCATTCTCAGCAATCATTCTGTGGACATCCCAGAAAATGTGGACATCACTCTGAAGGAATGTACTTTGTGCAGAAATAGAAAGGAACTGACCACGTGATCTGTAGTCATGTACAGAACATGATCAAGGGTGTTACACTGGACTTCCCTTACAAGATGAGGTCTGGGTACACTCACTTCCCCATCAACACGTGTGCTTATTCAAGAGAATGGTTCTCCTGTTGAAATTAGAAATTTCTTTGGCAAAAAATACACCTGCCGAGTTCGGATGAGGTCAGGTGTTGCTTGTTCAGTATCTCAAGCCCAGAAAGATGAGCTGATTCTTGAAGGAAATGACATTGAACTTGTATCAAACTCAGCTGCTTTGATTCATCAAGACACAACAGTTAAAACAAGGATATCAGAAAGTTTTTGGATGGCATCTATGTTTCTGAAAAAGGAACAGTTCAGGAGGCTGATGAATAAATAAGATCTAAGTTGTCCAACTATAGAAACACCAAGATGCCAAATGATTTGTCACACTTATTTGCGATATTTAAAGATGTAATGAAAGCTTCACATTAAATTTAAAGAAACTTAAAAAATCCTAATATAATCACTCTCATACTTTTTGGGTAATAGTTTAGAGTAACTTTTCTTTGTAATGTTATCGTGAAGTTAGGCCTTTTACAAACTAATTGTAACAGACACTCTGGTGCCTAACTCCCAGTCTCTTATCCTTTTCTTGCTTATTGGTGGGGCCCCAAATATGTTTGTGTCTCCATCTTTCCTCATGTAATTCAGGGATAAATCCTGACAAGATTAGGATGCACATGGGGATTTCATTTCCTTTGCCTATTTGAAGGATCTGGGTTTGGTGTCCAGTTTTGGCCAAAGATAGGTTAGGGGCAGTTGCTGGATGGCTTCTGGGAAAGCTTTCCCTGCTCTTAAAAAGAGAGGCACAGGAGGAAATGGCTCTTCTTTTCCAAATGGATGTTGCTATGTATTTATGGGATTATTGAGGTAGTAGCAGGCATTTTGCTAAGGAGGTAATTTATTGAGGAGCTAACTGATGAAGGATGGAAAGACAGAAAAACAAATCCTGGCTTCCTTTTTTTTTGAACTTAATTTTTATATTAATTTATTAATATATTTTTAGAAATAGGGGAAGGGAGAGGGATAGAGAGATTAGCTGAATCCTGCGTGGTCCCTACTGGGAATTGTGCCTGACTGGGAATTGAACAGGGGACCTCTTGGTTCATGGGCTGACACTCAACCACTGAGCTATACCAATTGGGCAAACCTTGGCTTCTTGATGATGCTGTTGAGTCATGGAGCAAACAACCTTAGAGCCAATCTATCCTATGGGCTTCTTCTTTTCTTCAATAATATGTCCTTATTGTATGAGTCATTTTGAAATGATTTTTTTGGTTAACTGCAACTAATTAACCAATTGATTTTTGGGTTATTAACAAATACATTCATCTATTTCAAGTAACCCTATTTATTATTTAGTCTTTGCTTCTCAAAAAGTCACAACATAGCCAGTGGAGCCCCCTCAAATTGGACAGCTTGCCCTATCAGAACTGTTTGTGACTTTCTTGAGAGCAAAGAACTTACACGCATATATGCATAACCCATGGACAGACAATAGTGCTGGGAAGGCCTGTGGAGGGGGCAGGAGCAGGGGGAAGGGGGTCACTGGGGGAAAAAGGAACATCTGTAATACTTTCAATAATAAAGGTAAATGAAAAAAAAGTTTGAATTTTCATCCTGCAGGCAACAGAGAGGCAGGGTCTTGTAAGCTAGAAAGGAATGAGCCCCAGAGCTTTGCACAGAGAATAGACACAAGTGTTCCAACTTGGTTAAATTAATTTGGTGGCCTGAATGTACCTTCCTCAACTGCTGACCAGGCCTCCTTGCTTCCTCATCCACCCCTACAACCTTAAGCATGACCATTGGCCGGGGTGAACCAACCTGTGAGGCCATCAGGTGTGTGTGTGTGTGTGTGTGTGTGTGTGTGTATGTGTGTGTGTGTCTCTGTGTGTCTATGTGTTTAGATGGAGGGGACTTTCCAGCCACACTCCATCTGCCTGCTGGGGGAGGCAACAATTTCTTCTTCCTGCATGTTTTCAGCCCAAATCCTCTCTGCTTCCTCATTCCATCCTCCTCCCACAAAGATAAGGGTCTGTACCAGAAACCGCCTAGGCCCTGCTTTCCTGAGCTGGGGCTGAGTTCTGGGCTGCCCAGAGCTTGTGGTCAGGCCGGGTTGGTTGGAGGCCTGCCATCCATCCACACCCTGCAAGTCCGCAATTTCAAAACAAGGCTTTAGGGGGGCGGGTCTTGAGCCCTTTTATTAGGCACCTCCACTCCTCTTCCCCCTCAGAAGGCACGAAACGTCTTTGTGGAAGATGGGTGTCTACCGCATCCGCGTGTCCACGGGGTCCTCGCTCTTCGCGGGCTCCAACAACCAGGTGCAGCTGTGGCTGGTGGGCCAGCACGGGGAAGCCGCGCTCGGGGAGCGCCTGCGGCTGGAGCGGGGCAAGGTGAGCTCGGGAGCTGGTCCCCAGCCCAGGGGACGTCACATTCCTGGGCAGAGAGGTGCTGGGCAGAGCGTGGCGCACAGCTCCACGGGGTCCTCGCTCTTCGCGGGCTCCAACAACCAGGTGCAGCTGTGGCTGGTGGGCCAGCACGGGGAAGCCGCGCTCGGGGAGCGCCTGCGGCCGGCGCGGGGCAAGGTGAGCTGCGGGAGCTGGTCCCCAGCCCAGGGGATGTCACATTCCTGGGAAGAGAGGCGCTGGGCAGAGCGTGGCGCACAGCAGGCGCCCAATAATTGTCCACGCCGTCTGGGATGGGGAGGATGCTCCTGCCCGCCCTCCTTCACAGAGCTCTCTCTCTTTTTGCAGAGATCATGAAGGGGCTGCGTGTCTCTGGTTTCCTCGATTTTATTTCGAGAGGGGAGAGAGAGATAAAGAGAGAGAGAGAGGAAGAGACAAAGAGAGAGAGATTGATTTTGTTCCACTTACTTATGCGTGGTCGAGACTGGTATGTGTCCTGACCGGGATGAGCCTGGAACCTTGGGGTATCAGGACACGCTCTAACCACTGAAATACCTGGCCAGGGAAGTTTCCTCCATCTGAAACCCTATTTCAAACCCCTTCCTTCGAGGCGGGGAATGGGGTCAATGCGGGGAGAGAAACGAAGAGCTGAATTTCCTGGTCCCTTCCCCTCTCTCATCACATCTACCTGGTTCGCCCGGGCTGCTGTTACGTTTTCGTCCCCATTTCCCATCCCCACATTCCCGTCGCTCACCCAGCTCTTTCCAGGACCCGCAGGTCCGGATGTCTGTCCCGCGGACGCCTCAAAGGAACCTGCCCAGGCGAGGCCCTCCCTTTCCCACCCCCACACCCCTCCACAAGCCCTCCTGTAGCCAGATCTATTTCTTCAAATACATCCCCGCCTTCACACGCCCCTCCCCACAAACATTTGAACGGCTTCTGCCGGTTCTAAGGACCAAGTTCTTGGATTACCCCTCGAGACAGTTCACCGTCTAGTCACGCTCATCTCCCACGCGCTCTGTGCTGGGCACAGCCTCCGCGCTCTCGCTTCCTCTCCCCGGCACGCATTTCCCCAACCTCCCCTCTCTCTCACTTTCCCTGGTCAAACCCTCCACACCTAGCGGTCTCCGCTCACACCGAGCGGAGGGGGCGCCGGGGTCTCTGGGCTGCAAGTGCCTGGTCCGCAGTGTATCTCCCCGCGCAACGGTGCGCTCGCCCGCGGCGGTGCCCCGCGCCCAGCTCAGCGCTCGGTAGGATCAGTGACTGCGAGGAGGAGAGAGGAGGAGAGAGGGCAGGAAGGAGTGCACCTTCCCTCGTCCGCCTCACCTGGAGCTGAAGAACTCCAGGACCCATAATGGGGACGTTTCCCTCCTCCGCCTCACCCGGGCTGAAGGACTCCACGGCCCATAATGGGGACGTGGGAACACCTGGTCGGCGCGCCCCCCTTTCTCTTTTGGCTCCTTTGGCGCCGCTTCCCAGAGGCCCAGCAGAAGGGCCTGGGCGGGGAGCTGGGCTCAGTTCAGTCCCCGCTCCCGGCGATCGCCATGGATGCTGAGCCTCTTGTGTTGCCTGCAGGAGACGGAGTTCAAGGCGGACGTGAAGGAGTACCTGGGGCCGCTGCTGTTCGTGAAAATGCGCAAAAAGCACCTCCTACAGGATGACGCCTGGTTCTGCAACTGGATCTCCGTGCAGGGCCCTGGGGCCGGTGGGGAGGAGTTCAGGTTCCCATGCTACCGCTGGGTGGAGGGCAATGGCGTCCTGAGCCTCCCCGAGGGCACAGGTGAGCGCAGGGTGGGGTGTGAGGAGGCCTCTGGGGCCCAAGAGAAGCTGGGGATGGGGGAGAGGAGAAGAGGGAACAGGGTGTGAGGGCAGGACCCGGAGGGCCGGGTCTTTTTTCCTTCCCGAAGATGTGGATTGCTGGAGTTGGCACGCAGGCTGGGGAGGGGCGTGCTGCTGAAGGGTCACCCCTCCTCCGCAAGGGTGGGCTGAGAGGCACCCCTGGCAGGGACAGGGGAGGCAGGGAGAGGCTCTCAGGAGAAGCCTCATCGTCCATGTCCTTGTCCGCCCTCCTTCCTCCTCTAGGCCGCACGTTGGTAGAGGACCCTCAAGGCCTGTTCAAGAAACACAGGGAGGAGGAGCTGGAAGAGAGAAGGAAGCTGTACCGGTTAGCCTTACCCCGTCCTAACCCCTCCTGACTTGGCAGTGAGTCCTGGCCCTACGGGGCATCAATGCCTGATTTCATTTCTGCCCCACAGATGGGGTAACTGGAAGGATGGGCTGATCCTGAATGTGGCTGCGGCCAATTTATGTGACCTCCCGCCAGATGAGAGGTTTCTGGAGGACAAGAAATCTGACTTTGAGACTTCACTGGCCAAGGGGTGAGAGCAGTGCCAGTTGCCCATCTTCTTTTATCATGTTTCCTTTTTTTTTTTTTTAATAAACCTGGAGGAGAGGGAGGCATCCTGGTTCAGGGGCTCCAATGGACTGAACAGGGCTGGATTAGCCCAAGGGGGGTGCTGATAGGTACAATGTGTGATTTTGAGACTAATTTTCAAACCCTTTGCCTATCCTTACCTGAAGCCTGGCCAAATTAGCCATCAAAGACTCTCTAAACGTTCTTGCTTGCTGGAATGATCTGGATGACTTCAACAGGATCTTCTGGTGTGACCACAGCAAGCTGGCTGGTCAGTATCCCTATCCCAGTACTTCTCCCAGGACCCTTCCCACCCAATCGAGGGAACCAGGGCTGGGAGACCTGCGGTCTGGGTCCCTCTGGTGGGCTGGGGGCAAGCGGG